AGGCTTCGTGGCCTGCAAAGCTTTAAATATTTACTATCTGGACCTTTACAGAAAAAGTTTGCCAACCCCTGGCATGTAGAGTCTGTACTGTTTACTTACAGGTTACAACAGTTCTTAGAACGCTTCTGTGACTGGGTGTCGTCTTTAACTATTTGCCTTTATGACTTTTGATAGGCTTACTCTGGGTACCATGATATCATTTCATTCATGTATTTTTCATTAATAATTAAATTACATTGCTGCTTTCATTCTCATTTAGATTCTTAGATGAAAATGTGCTTCTTCATTTGATTATATTGTTTAATCTTTGTTTCCCTCTCCTGTTATTCATTACTTAATACTTCCCTTGAATTATTTAGTCTTTTTCTAAGGTGCTTTAAAATGATTTGTATGAAACTCAACATAAAATAAAATTGTCCTGCTTTCAATGACCAAAAAAAAAAAGAAGACATAAAAAGTTCAGGCCACACACGATGGCTCACACCTGTAATCTCAGCACTTTGAGAAGCCGAGGCAGGTGGATCACCTGAGGTCAGGAGTTTGAAGCCAGCCTGGCCAACATGGTGAAACCTCATCTCTACTAAAAATACACAAAATTGGCCAGGCATGGTGGCGGGCACCTGTAATCCCAGCGGGCACCTGTAATCCCAGCTGCTCGGGAGGCTGAGGCAGGAGAATCACTTGAACCTGGGAGGCGGAGGTTGCAGTGAGCTGAGATTGTGCCATTGCACTCCAGCCTGGGCAACAAGAGCGAAACTTCATCTTAAAATAATAATAATAATAATAAATATAAATAAGTTCAGTAGAAACTTCTTGGGAAACTTTATATATCTCTAGTAGAGTTAAAAGGTTTTGCAGAAGATAAATGTTAAAAAATTATTTATTTGGAGTGAATATTTGGTGAGTTTTTATAACTTTAATTGCATCAAACACTGAATGCTGTGAGAGTCAATAAATCTTATAACAGAAGAAAATCAGTCTCTTTAAATAAAAAATCCATAAATTTATTGCAAATCTAGAAGTACCAGAATGTCACTAATACAGAACAAATCAGCAATCTTGTTTGTATTTTCTTCCAAACATTTAAAACCTTGATTATTGACATATTGAAATTGGCATACATTTTGCTTTCATGCAGATAACAGAATAGACATGGAGCAGATCCCTCAGAAATCAGTTATAAATATTAAATTGTATTGAACATTCATAGTAAAAAATATGTTGTAAAGTGCTGAAGTCATGTTAAGTCTGCAAAACTGCCACAAGCTCAAAGTTCTTCTCAAGCAGTGACAGAGATTTGCTACATCCACCTTGTTTTAGGTATGTCTGTTTTTGACAGACACTTTGTCATTTCCTCCCCCACCCTCCCCGAAGTTTTATAGATTGTCCTATTTCTATGGCTGATAAGATGCTCTACAGATTGTAGCAGGTGGTGATGAACTATGCCACTTTTCATTTCAGTGCAGAGAAATATTCAAGCTTGTGTGTACCTGTAACCAAACTAGGCTTGTTATGGTTTTCCCCCTGAGTTGTCATAAATTAACATTAACGATGAATAAAGATGGAGCAGCAAGCATTGACCATCACCTGCAGGGTGAGATTGTGGTAAAATAGGTGAGTAAAAAGTCCACCTATTATCCCGACACTTGCCCTCTTTACAGAAAACTGCTAACGTGAGCAATACTATACATGTAGTGTAACTCCAAAAGAAAAAAAAAGAAAGAATAACAAACAAAAACCAAAACAAAAAAAAAAACAATGACCAGCTACCCGATACCTCTGGCAACTTAGAGCAATCAAGTTATAGAAGATGTAAATTGCAACTTGTAACTCACTATAACGTAATTGTCTCTGTTACCCCCCTGTGAAATACAGAAATCCTTCAACAATTAGATGGTTTTTTCTTTAAATCAGAAATGCTTTAAGAGTTCAATGAAATATAATTCTGATCAAAGAAGTTCCTCAAGTATTCTTAGATGATAAAACAAATTATTTTTGAAAGCTAAGGCGATTTGCTATCCAGTATTTTTTCCCCTTTAATAGCACACGTTGCCCCTAATCAAATGGAAGAATCATGACAACTTGGCCGTTTATGAAAGTATTTTTACAAGATAAGATGTATTCTGTGAGTCATTTAAAGGATTGCAGAAAGGAGGTAAAAATGCTGCTTATGTCTCCAATTTTTTTTTGATTACTTTAATCATCCTAGAATAACTTAATAATAAATAGTGGTTTAAATTAAAGACACTACAGTCACATATTTCTGTATAACTAAAAGCAACAGGAAACACATTTTTAAATGCCATTTTGTATATTCTGTACTGAAATACTTCTGGTAAGGACTGGCCATAAAAAGAAGTGGTAATCTTCACATTTATGAAGTTCAAGTTATGTATATACTTAAAATTTGTTTATTAGTAAAATGTTTGGTCTTCAACTATACTTCATCTCCAGCAAGCAGAGGCCGTAATTTGTTAATGGGAGCCTTGGTATTTTACAAAAGGTTTAACAAAAACTATTTATTCAATATTTCTGAAAATTAGGAATTTTTTAAATGATTTAAGTCTTTTTTTTTTTTTGACTGGCCAATTTCATTTCAATGACCTGGGTTGGATGTTGTTTTATTCAAGACAGTAGTTTATTCAGACAAGACCATAGGAAGAAAGAAAAGAAAGAAAGAAAATCATTTGTCCCACGTGAAAGCTTTTAAAACCACTTTGCCAGTTCATGTCACTATTTTAATATTGGAATGTGAACCAAAGAGTCTTTCTATATATCTTTTGTATTGCTACTGAATACAGCCAGATTTACATATGGAAGAGTGCTTGGTTGTTTTTTGTTTTGGCTTTAAAAACAAGCAAAAAGGAAAGCTTAAAACAAAACAAAACAAACACGATGTTCGTAGTGCTCTTCACATACACATTCCCTTTAAAATGTAGTTTTGAAAGTGGAGTAGAGGGGTTAGCTCCTCTACCTCCTTGTGTCCCCGTCGGGCCCACCCCATCCCTCTCCAGCCAACACAGTGGCTGTTGTTGTGAGTAAGTGTGTCATACTGGCTCCATCTGCACGTGAACTCTGTGCTCATTTTTTGCAAGATCCATTTCCAGAAAGTCTTCAGGAATGTCCTGTAAAGTCTTCCCACGATGGTTCACTACCTTTGTTTCACCTGAATGATGACGCTGGCACAGTCCCATCTTACACGGTCTCACCAGGGCGAGGCACACAGCAGCCAGGGCCATGCCAGCTGCACAGGAGTAGAAGGCTCTGCTATAGATCTTACTTTGGTCCACCAACAAACCTGGAAGAGAGCATGGCGTCCGTTAACAGCAGCCTTCCTAGACATGAGCCCTCTCACCCAGGCGACCCTCACATTCAGAAGCCTCTCAGTTTCATTGCCTTCCTTGTTTTCTTTTGTGTTTCTAAAGAAAAATGGGTGTTAAAGGCAGACATCTTTGCTAGATTGGAGAGGAGAAAGAGACAAACACACAATATACTTGTTCTTCTTGGGCTAAGTCTGTCCTAGCAGAGGATCTAAAACCTGGGACATTTAGGTGTATACTTCTTTGAAAAGGTAATATTCTTCGGTAGGAAGGAACTGTATTATTTTCACTTGAGTTCACTTTAGGTATTTTTTTTTTTTTTTTTTTTGAGACGCAGTTTTATTCTTGTCGCCCCAGCTGGAGTGCGATGGCGCGATCTCGGGTCACTGCAACCTCCGCCTCCCAGGTTCAAGCGATTCTTCCGCCTCAGCCTCCTGAATAGCTGGGATTACAGGTGCCTGCCACCATGCCCAGCTACTTTTGTATTTTTAGTAGAGATGGGGTTTTGCCATGTTGGCCAGGCTGGTCTGGAACTCCTGACCTCGAATGATCTGCCCGCCTCAGCCCCCCGAAGTGTTGGGATTAGAGGCGTGAGCCACTGCGCCTGGCCCACTTTAGGTATCTTTTGACAGGAGTATGATTTCTAATCACAAACACTTTAAAGACCCATTTGGGATCTAAGATATGAAACATACCTATGTCCCTCCTACAAGGAAACATTCTGTACAAATCAATTAGGTATTTACAGAGCGCCGCTATCCATTCCCAAACACCTTTCCTGAGAAGGGAAGGTGACTTACAGAAGTCCATTAGTTCTATCATTCCAGAAGTCAGGTGGGCTCTGAAGGTGATAAATCCGTGAGTTCCTGTCTAGCATGAGAGAAGGCAAGGTGATAGAAAAAGCCTGGGTTGGCAGGTGCAGTGGCTTACACCTGTAATCACAGTACTTTGGGAGGCCGAGGAGGGCAGATCATGAGGTCAAGAGATTGAGACCATCATGGCCAACATGGTGAAACCCTGTCTCTACTAAAAATACAAAAATTGGCCAGGCGTGGTGGTGGGTGCCTGTAATCCCAGCTACTCAGGAGGCTGAGGCAGGAGAATCACTTGAACCTGGGAGGCGGAGGTTGCAGGGAGCTGAG